ATCATATCTCCTAGATCTCTTGTAGGCTATGTCTGTGTGTGTGTGTGTGTGTGCGTGTATTTGCGCGCGTGTGCGTGAGATGTCAACTTCATAGAGCTCTGAAAACATGACCTCAACACAGAGACAAACGCTCTTCAAATTAGCCAACATATATTTGTTTGAGGAGTGAATTTGCTCCAAAATCGATTTGTTGCCTGACAGCCTGCTGTGGAATTGTGGACCGGTGTCATCAAAATTGGCCCTTGTAACAATCATAAATTTTAAGAGATTCTCATGTGGAATTGAAGTCTCTATGCATGGAAGTTTTTAAGTTTTTAAAACGATGAATTTAAACAATCATGAAGTGCAAGTTAAATCGCCTGATGTGGAAAAGGTAGCACGGAAGTTGCAGAGCACTTTGTCTTGCGTAAAGCATTAGCCAGGACTAATTGTTGTCATAAACTAAAGACACCACACCAAACCACCAGTGGAAGCAGGACGCCGACAACGGACTCTGTTCAAGTCATGTCAATCGGAAACGCGAACCCTGGAAGTTGGTTTTAATTTCAACCATCCAAGGAAATGGTGAGCAAAACTCACGTTTAGTTCATGTGAACAAACCACGATGCTCAGTGTGTAACTGTATGTCTTGCTACTCGACAGTCCATGCTGGCCCAAGTGAAGATTTCTGGTTTGGCTGAAATGAGACCGATTTGCTGCTGATGGACGGTGAGCAAAATGATTGCAAATTACCGGAGACATGATCGTATGACGTATGATTAAAATGTTTGGTTTGTAGTTAATAATTTACTCGTGCCTGTTTGTCTAAACAGGCTAGGCTCTTTAAGTTGTAAAATTGAACTGGTTGGCGAGCCAAAGAAAGAGGACTGTGTACTGTGCCAATTAAAGATTTTTTTTTTCCTCTTCGATGCCCAATGAGTGCGACTTACCTATAACATCTTCGTTTAAAACTTCAAACGCCTGAGGTTTAATGAGGCATGAATGCCACTCTAAAGGTTAGATGGTGTACGACAACACTGTTGATTTAACTTTATTATGTGTTAAGTATTATTACTTTGTGTTATTTGTACAATGTAATGTTGCTGGCGTAGCTACGTTTGTAGCCTAGCCTATGCTACGCTCACACACACACACACACACACGCACACACATTGTTGAAATCATATGTTGGATGCTTTATTCTTTCTATGTGTTTTTTAGTTAATGATCGGGCTATAATAAGACCACGTTGGCTATGTAATCGCTGACATCAGGGAAATTTCATAGTGGTTGGTGGAAACCGGGACATTTTAGCGTCCCGACAGGCTTTTGTTGGGACTCGGGACATGCAACTCAAAACCGGAACTGTCCCAGCAAAACCGGGACATCTGGTCTCCTTAGTGTGAGTATCTTAAGTGCAATAGAAATGTTTGAACTCTGCTAGACATGGTCAGTCGTGTAAAGGTAGTCAAGCCTCTCCAGACAACTGGAGCTTTTTCTGAGTTGGAGTGTGTTCACCAGTGCTTTCAGCTCTCGAGAGAGGTGCATGGTGCATCTATATTCCCTGTTTTTCTTCAGGTTGTCTGCACTGGTGCAGCAAAGCTACTCTCTTTGCTACACTCTGAATCTCAGCTGTGCTGTACTGAACCCTGTAGACATAAAAATGCCTCAATTGAGAAATCTCTGACAATCCCTGAACAGCAGTTCAGTAAGGATATAAAAGAATACCTTTGCTTGGGTGTTGGCAAGATTTTTTTCCAGCATTTTCACTCAGGAATGGGCTTTTCTATCATCTTGCTCTCTCTTGAGAGAGTGTCATCTGTTTATCTATTTTCTCTGCAATTTCCCTTGCCTCTACAATGAATAAAAAGCACAATGCCCTCTTACTTTTATTCCACCATAGAAATGCAAGTGTTCACAATGAAAATATAGAATACAAACAGTCATCTTATGAATAATCTCCCTCTTTCAGGCACACACTGTGAGCACAAAAATAAATGGGGCTGTTCACGTATACAGTTCAGACCTAGAGTATACTGTGTGTAGTACAGCAATGACATTGCTTCACAAGGTGTCTATACCAAGACTTTCGTCTTTTACACCTGAAGATCTGTTGATCAGCAGACAGCCTCGAAGCCCTGTGGATGACATTACATTTACCTTTTCACATTGTATAATCAGTTATACTGGAAAGGTCATCTATCACTTCATGGACATCCCATCACACCTTTACACTCCCCATGTTAAATTACACAGTGCTGTTGAGAGAAACTCTCTGGCAAGAGTGGATTGTGAAGGCTGTCTTAGTATAGCCCAGAGAATAATGAACAGAAGTGCTGCAGCACCCCAAAAAATCTTGTCACCAGCGACTGTTTGAGGCATAAACAAAGCCCTCTCATTCATGTCAAGCAGACTCTTTTACACTCCTTTTTCCACTGGTTCCAAAACTCAGTTGTAGGCACTCAATGTGTACGCTGGTTTTTGTTCCAGCCACAGTTACAATCCTAGTAATAGCAAGAGATTAATTTTTCTTAATTAGTAGCTTTTCAGGCAAGAGAGAACTTTCATCCTCTCAGACCATATTGATAGAAATTGCTCTGCATTCCATGATGTTAAGAAGCCCAGTGTTCATATTTCTTTCCAAGAAAGGTAGCAAGGCTAAGGTGGCAGTATGTTTTATCTGCTCAAAGTCAAGACTGTGGTGAATCATTAAGCTGCTAACAAGGTTTTTGAATGCAGGTGTGTAACTTCTTTCAATTTCTTTGCCTACAACCAAACACAAAAATTACAGCAAATTCATCTAAATCATTATAATTTTATGGCACATCCTGAGCCTTTCTTTATTGTTTCCACCCGCAATGCAGCCATCCTTGTCAGTTTTTCCTTCAGTTTCCCCTCATTGTTTTTATTATTGTCTCATGCCCGCCCTTCCATTTGTGCTCCCACTCCGCTGTTTCCAATTAAAAATTGTTGTCCTATGTATTTAAGTTCCTAGTCTGTCTTTCCCTTCACTGGATAGTCAGTTACTCTTCATTGAGTTCTAAGTCTGTTCAATCGAGTGCTCTGAATCTCCCGTCTGTAAGAGTTATGCCGACCTCAGATAGCGCGGTTTTTTCAAAAATTTTCTACAGTACTCTACGCCACGATTCTCTATGTTCAGCCGACAATTGCAGAAAATCATAGCCACAGGCCGTCGATGGATGGTACCTCTCATACATCATGAGAACTCATGCCCAATATCCCGGACAAAACACTTTGTTCTGGTGTAGGGGACAATTACAGCAATATCAACCAACGGGAAGAATAATTTGCTAGCTAGCATGGTAACGCTTTTTGTCATTGAACTCATAAATTCAATTTTCTAAGGGTACACACAGTTACACATGTAACTTATTACTTTAACGGCAAAACGCGTTAGCATGCTAGCTAGCGAATAATTTATCCCCTTGTCTTGAACAGACCGCCAAGTAGAAGCAAACAAATATTTTTTTCATATTCCAAGCAATACGATGCGGACATATTATATTATATCTTGAGCTCACTCATTAATATTTAGCCTATTGATTAATATTTTTCATGTGGCTTTTCATGCCGACAGGTGTCTGGCAGGTGCTGGAAGTTCTGTAACAATAGACTTGATACAATTAAGTAGCTTAACTGCAGTATAGGCATAGGACAGTATATTAACAGTTCAGAGAGACAAGTGTATCGGATACATGCTGGCTACATCTACACCTAGATACCTGTGCACCCAATTTCAATTGACATTAATTCCAAGGTCTTTGCTCTCGATAATTTGTCATGAAAACTTTTAAAGTTTATGTTGCACAGCTGAGGCCTTTCACGCCACAATTTCACCAAAAGATCTTCTTTCGCTTCGGTCCAATCATTTATTTTTTATTTATTTAACCCTTATTTAACCAGGGAAGTCCTGTTGAGATTGAAATCTCTTTTTCAAGGGAGCCCTGGGGGTTGAGGTGGGGAGGGAGAGGGCAATTTGCACAGCCAATTGGATCAGGGGATGATTAGGTGGCAGGTCGAAACAGCCAGGTTGGGACTTTAGCCATGACACCGGGGAACCCCCTACACTTATCGAAGAGTGTCATAGGATCTTTAATGACCACAGTGAGTCAGGACCTCGGTTAAACGTCTCATCCGAAAGACGGCGTCTCCTTCAGTACAGTGTCCCCGTCACTGCACTGAGGCATTGGGGGTTATACCGCCAGAGGGAAGATCGCCACCTACTGGCCCACCAACACCTCTTCCAGCAGCAACTTGGCTTTCCTCGGTGGTCTCCCATCCAAGTACTGGCCAAGCCCACACCTGCTTAGCTTCAGCCACGCGGCTGGAGCAGATCGAATAGTGGTATGGCTGCTGGCAATCAATCGCCATTGTTGAGTTATCGATGATGATCGTTTGTTTACATGAAGTCTTCGCAACGGAAGTGCATGTGCACATCTCACAATTGTTTGTGTAACCCTGCTATTACCCACGAGTATCCATGACAACCCTTCACATCCTGCAACTTTCCACGATTTCCATCGTTAAGCTGAGATTTCCTGCGGCATGACCAAAAAACTTTGAACGTGTCCAAAACTCTAAGACACTCTGCATCAACCTATGTCACGGCCAAACCGCAGGAAATACTAGCCGTAGGCACCCTCACACAATACAACAATGAACGAAATTGTGCCTCAACATAGGTTAATGTGTGATGTTGTAGCCAAACCGTGTGAGGCCGGTTTTAAAGTAAGAAACCCAAGTAACTATTTATTAGGGAAATCTGCCTGTGCTAACTGGTCCAGAATGGGATTCCCTCCAGTCTTTCTTGCCTCTGAGTTTACTTCTCGCAGCCATTATCAACCTACTGTAAGTTTACATTAGGGCATGGTTGAATTTTTAATTCAGTGCATGTCAGCTGACACATGGAGTGAGACTCCAAAACTGTTTATTGGATTTTATTGTACTCATAAGAAGGAAGTTTTGTTATTTACATGGAACAAAAATATAAACAGATGGGTGGCAGGGTGGTGCAGTGGTTAGCACTGCCGCCTCACATGAAGAAGGTTGTAGGTTTGAATCCGGCCTTTCCGTGTGGAGTTTACATGTTCTCTCCACTGCTCCTAACTACCGGATTGGTTACATGCAGAGGACAAATTACCCCATGGGTTAAATGAAGTATATCTCTCTCTTTTGTGAGAAATATGACCATTTTCAGAAACTCACTGTACTTTTATTGAATGTTGACAGATTGTATGACCATACTGCAGTACATTTCAATTACTGATTGAAGCAGACAAATAAGAATGACGCAGAGGCGTAGAGTTACGTTCCAGACCAGGAATCAAATGTGGAGGTAGAGTACAATCCAATAGGTAGTTTTTTGATGGCTTATACGGTAATTTGGGAACAGAACCTTAGAGCAGAATAGCAGGGTTCAGTGCAGATATGTTGGGCGAGGCTGAGCTTTCGATTGCCGGCCAGTGGTTTCCACACACTTTGCCAACACCAAACTGTCCCAAGGGAGGATGGAGCAGCTTGATGGGAACTTGATTCTAATCCCGATGACAGTAGAAAGATTTGGTGTATTTTCCTAAAAAACTGGACAGAGGAACAGACTTGGAATGCTTAACAAGGGCGCGATGGTCCCAATCCTGGACCTTGGTTAAGCTTGAGAGGTCATCTCTATTTAAATGGGCAGAGGAACTGACTTGAGCTGGGTTAACTGTCTTGAATGCAATCCCAATCCTCAACCCTGATCAGGCTTGGAAGCTTGTTCGAGATAACTGAATGTAAAGGAAAGCTTCCGTGAATGGCATTCATAAGGATTACGTTACACTTAATAAAGACAAAGAGTTTCAACCAGTTGCTGTAATGGCTGGTAGTATAAGGACGCCAAGCACAACGACAGAGAGAAAGAGAGTAGCTCGGACACAGTACAAACACAGAGAATAATATAGACCAAACACAAGTACTCGCGCTTCCAAAGGACGTATAATAGTCTGAACCACGGAAGCAAAGCGAGCTAGAAAAAGGGAGAAGAAACTCCAACAATAAGAAGATAGAAAGTCATACCAAACCTGACTAAAGATATCTTCGGCTATAGTGCTATTCTAAACACAGACACTCTAGCGAAGGAGGCGTGCCGGACATCCTGCTTATATAGATTCTGGGGAAGCGCCGCCCCAGCTCAATCAACCAGCTGGGTAAAGAATTCGATGGCCCAGGAATTCGATATCATCCCCGAATGAGAGCAGCAAAGAAAGGTCCAAACAACATGCAAACCTCACAAACCATGACAGTAGCGGTTAGATAACACCAAATACAGACAAAGAGTTTCTCATTGGAATACTTAGTGCGTCTAAACGCATAAGACAAATTACGATCCAGCAATTTGCAAATCTTAGCAATGGTTTATTGACACGCTCCCTAAGGTTTCAAGTCATCTGTGGCATTTTGAAAAATTGCTGAACTGGAACGTTTGGGGTGGCCTTTTATTGACCAGAGGACTGGATGTGCCTGGGCTGACCATACCTGATTTCAATAGCTCTGGATCAGCACCCACCTGTCTGAGGGGCAAATTTTGATACAGACCATGAATACTGACAATGATATGGCAAAGGTGACCGAAATGCTCATAGACCAGTTGCACAGAACCTTGATCACGTAATTAAATCCTACCCAGTCAACCACAGAAATAATTTTTATTTAAAATATTGAAATGATTCAACTGTTGCACTTTTTTTTTTTTGTTCAGTGAAGTTTACCCAAACTCATTAGACAGAATTGCCCCTCATATGGTTCCAACAGTTCATACCAGCAAGAGAACAGAAGTTCCCACAGCTATGCTGCAGTTGTGCTTTGGTTCTGCAAGACCTTCATGAGTTGTGAGCCCAAACTCAACCGGATTTCAATACACATTTTGGGAAATAGAATTTGTCTTATTTCAAATATGGATTTTTTTTAAAATCAGTCCCAAAATTTTTGCCTCTGTTTGGTTAAGTTGTTAATTCAGGCTATTCATGCCTTACCTTCTGCCATTTCATGTTTAACCATGTAATTGTTTACACGGAGTACTAAACGAAGTTTTGGTTAATACTTTACGAGCACAAACACGCACAAACATACGCACACATGCACACACGCGCGCACGCGCACACACACACACACACACACACACACACATATTCCATGTGACAGCCCTGGGAATTTGTCTTTAAATGAGGATGAATAATGAATGCAACCTACATCAGATACACAAAGCAGGACACAGTGAGAGAAGGCACACTGAGATTCAGTAACTCAATCATATTTGACAAGAATAAATTGATCACTTTGTAATGAGCATCTTTGGTGATTGATGCCTCGAACCACAATCTGGAAACTATTTGATAGCGTGTCCGCCACTGGTTTCACATCACCTGAAATATAATTGATGTTATTTTGGAAAATTTTCTAATTGCCTTGTTTGTCTGAAGTGATGATTGATGGTGTGGGGGTGGGCATAAAAAAACTCTCCTAGACTAATGAAATGCAAGCATACCTTACAAAAATTGATTAGTCACTCTGCTCTTACGTGCTTTGCTGAAAGAAAGCATCATGGGAGAACAAGTCCAGCTCATAAGCACCCTCTACATAATCCCCAGAATAGCTCCATCTCTGTTAATTGTTATGGAAATCACCCATGCCACTGACACTGCAATTCGCCATATCCTGCCAAGCATTTTCCCGAATTATTTCACAGGAATATCAGTAATATTCAGCCTTGTAATGGAGATTTAGAATTTCCATTTCAATGGCCTTTCTCCCCCTTTCTTTACTTGTATGATCTGTAATGGGAAAGGACTGCTTTAATCACAGAGATTAGGATGTCCATTTTAACTGCAAATTGCCACTGCAAATTCAGTCATGTAACAGTGTAAAACCATCAATACTTTGCAGATATAAACCACTTTGAAACACCGAATGTTGGTATGCTTCTAAAAGTAGGCAGTTATGGAAAAACGCCTTCAGAAAACAGCTATGTAATGTGTTTCTGTGCCCACACACAGCAAACACAGCAACCACTTCATCTGGCCCAGTAGATTTACCTCATCCTCTGGCATCCAAACTTGTGTGGGTTCACTCTGAAAACCATGAGGTGATCATGCACCCTAGAGCTTGTGTAGTTCCTCCAGAGCATGATTTTCAGCACCGACCCTGACTTCCTTTGTCCAGAAGCACAATGCTGTTTTATTTACTGCACAACAACTATGTCGGAACCAAAAATCAAAACAGAAAATGAATCCTAGAAAAGTATTCACAATGATCTATCATGTTGCCACAGGACTTTTCCACTTAGCCAAAAGCAGTTTAAACAAGAGGCTCCTCAGAGCCTGCACTCGGGCCAGGTCTAGGCCTGGGCCAATCACGAAACCACGCGCGCACATGAGCAGGACAATCGTGACCCCGAAAAAAAAAAAAAAAAGAAGAACGGAGCCGAAACTTAGACTCGTGGCCTACCGGCCCGCGTAACAAGAGCTAATGTCCTTAGTGTGGTATTTGTATCTGGAAAACCTGGTTCAGCATGATGCATAAGATTGTTATGACTGGTCATTAGAATCTCTGTCTATAGGGTATGATTTGGCACCAAGTTAAGACACTAACGTAACACTGCACTGTCTCTCTGAATGAGCCAAGGCTCATTTTAGCAGAATCATAGAGATCAAATTAATGTTTACATGCATAGATTTGTGAGCAATATGTGACCTTGCAATTCAGATAACCTTTTTGCATTCTCCGTCAAATTTTCAATAAGTAAACATCAAGCCCCTTGACCCCATGTTATGATCATTTTTCTATTGGTGGCATTGAAAGGTTGCTGAGGTGCTAGTCAGAGGGTTAATTCAAGGAAGCGGCTCCTCTCTGAAGCCTTAAAACACAAATTTCTTAATTCACAAATCAACCAAACAGCACATTTTTGTGTCAAAATGTTGATTCATTTTTTAAAAGTAAAGATGTTTTGTGCACCAAGGCATGAAAGTGTTGGAAATAATGATCCTTCCTTTCACAAAATTCTCTACCTCATGAAAAACAACACTGATTCTTGAGATAAGGGAAAAACATGTTTCATTTTTTTTTCTGTACTACTAAATTCATTTGAAATGCATGTATTTTTAGACAAAGGTCTCAGCTAGCTATCATATGAAGGGCAGGTTTTTGGTCAAACACATTTTCAGAAAATAGAAATTCATGCACTTCATTATTTAATTTGTGCAAACTCTGTCAGAGTATCAGAACTCAAGTATCTAATAATGACATTCCATACTTAAGTAATAAAAAGCATATGCATTTTTGTCCTGATTTTTTCACTCTTGAAATATCCCAATTTTAAACTACCTAATTTTCTGCCTTTATTTTTTAATATTAAACATATAAGACCAATGTTTTAAACAAATGTGACATCGTTGAATGTAGTTTAGCTTTTATTTTAAAACAAAAAGAAGTAAATTGAATAAAAAATGCATTATATACATTACATTTATTTAGCAGACGCTTTTATCCAAAGTGGCTAACAGTAAGTGCATACGTTAAGGTCACTGACACTGTAGACCAACAGACTGGACAAAGTACAATTCACTAAAAGCATTAGTCACCTGAAGTCATGAACATGTAGAGCAAAGACTATACAGAAGGCAGTAGCACACAGGAAAAAGAAACAAAGCAAATTAAGACAAACAGTAAAGGGTTTTTTTTAAAGTAAATAAAAGCAGCGGAGGGCGGCGATCAGGTAGAAACTGTCTAAACAAGTGAGTCTTAAGGTTACGGCGGAAGAGCAGCAGGGATGGAGCAGTTTGTATGGAGGTGGGAAGGTCATTCCACCACTGGGGAGCAAGATGGGAGACGCTGAGTGATCAGGTAGAATGACCATCTTTCTGACCCAGGTTAGGGGGGCGAAGTCGTCCTGCTGTTGCAGAACGAAGTGGCTGGGCAGGTATGTATGGGATGATCATTTCATCATTCTGGATGAGCTGCAGGGGTCGGAGGGCACTGGATGGTAGCCCAGCCAGCACGGAGTTGCAGTAATCAAGACGGGAGATCACGGTGGCTTGGA